ATATATATATATATATATATATATATATATATATATATATATATATATATATATATATATATATATATATATGCAATTTTAGAACAATATACTTTTTACATATTGTAGAATTATAAAAGTATCACATTTAAAGAAATGTAGACAACAGCCAATCTATTCCATTTAGTGACAACTGCAGGACCGTACTAAGTGTTGAAAGTTAGGGAGGGGGAGCAAAGTTAATCAGGTCAAATCAGAGCCTGTGTGATTGGTCAAATCAGAGCCCACGTGACTGTATTGAAAAATATGTCTATAGGTACATTACACTGTTTTAGACTATTTTAGATTATATCTTCTCCTTAGTGATGTGCTATGAAAAAAATACCTTCTCCTAAATGATGTCCAACGTATGTATACCCTCTCTTAAATAATGTGGTCTGAAAATATACCCTGCCCTGAATAAAGCGCTGTGAAAATAAACCCTGTCCCAACTAATGTACCAGGAACATATTCGATCAACCAATCAACTCTAAGAAAGTTGTAAAATTTAATTCTGAGAGAAAATCTCCATGGATTTATTAATTTTGAAAAAAAAATAATGGATTTTATCATCAGACTTGACAAGGAGCAGCCCCACCTGCCCTCTCCTCCCCACCCCCACCTTTTCTTTTTTTTTTTGCCTGAGACCCCCTAACCCTTAGAATGCACTCAGGGTATATTATGTATAACGTACAACTTTTGAATAGCACCTGTCTCTCACCCGTAAGACGACCTTCCATAACACTTCACATATCAAACAATATATTTATATAGTCATAGACATTCTATATGAGTTTTCATCAAAGACCAAATTTCAACTTTACATTCAGGTCCCAAACAAAACATTTTATCACTTGTTGTTTTGTTGGTCTCAGAATATATGTACTATATACGAGATCAGTGGAAGTCGTGTGCCAGCCAAAATTTCAACGTTGCTACGTCCAAACACCTCCTACATAATGTACGGAGCAGAGCTATTGCGGTAACTGAATTCAATCAGTCTATTTGTAATAAATAATGGGGGGAAAAACCAACAACAACAACCCAACACCAACCAAATATTCCATTCTTAAATATCAGCCAAATATTCCATTCCTAAACATCAGCCAAATATTCCATTCCTAAATATTAGCCAAATATTCCATTCCTAAATATCAGCCAAATATTACATTCCTATTCCGAATGGCACCGGACAACGTTTTGAGGTCTTAAGTGTTTGGGCCACCCTTAAAACTATTCCTTGGAAGAAAACTTTCATCTCTTCCTCATGACTCATATCCACCTAGGGACTGCCAGCCGTCCCAGATGAGTGAGAACAGGGCCCTAGGTGTGAGTTCTTGTCAGGAGTACCCGTCGTGCTCGGTCATAGTCTCGGTGGTTAGACTGGCCGTCAGCCTCATCGTCTGCTCGGCTATTGTGTCCGCCGTTAGACTGGTGGTCAGTCTACGGCGATGCTCCGGGGGTTCGTCTCTGAACGACGTCGTGCTGATGCTGCGTCCCACGTGAAGCTCCTCCAGGCCGTTCTTCCCGTGGATCCCATTCTGACGGGTCAGCAGGTGCGAGGTGTTGCTGCTGCCGGTGGAGCGGCGGATTCCTCCACGGTGGGACGCTGCTAGTCATTCCGACATCTGCGTGGCGTTCAGCATGTCCTCCTCGTAGTCGCGCACCCCCTTGCAGACCTTACAGGATAATAGCCGCCTGAATGCGTTGTTAAAGTTCCTATTGAAATAATAATACAGCACGGGGTTCATGAGCGAATTAATGTACCCCAGCCACAGTGCGATCTGCCAGGGGACGTAAGGCATGGAATAATAAACGATGGGGTCAATGACATTCATGATGAAGAAAGGAAACCAGCAGACCGAAAAGCATCCCATAATAATCCCGAGAGTTTTGGCGGCTTTCGACTCCTGCTTGAACTTACTCTTCCGTTTACAGTGGCTGTAGTGGTTGTGGTTGCCGGCGGCCTCGAGGGTTCGAATCTGGTGGGTTTGTTTGTTGGCGGCGAAGTAAATCTGTGCGTTGCAGATGGCCATGAAGATGACGGGAATGTAGAAGGCGATGAGGGAGCAGATTAAGGCGAAGGGGATGTTGACGACGAACACACAGACGCTGGCGTCAGGGGGGTACGCGCAGGAGATGAGGTCCTCGATACCGATGTGGTTCCAGCCGTTGAATATAGGAATGAAGGAGATGAAGATCGGGGTCACCCAGCAGAAGGTCAACATGAGCCCCACGCACCGGACCGTCAGGCGCTCGTGGAGGAACGGCCGGCAGATGGCGAGGTAGCGGTCGATGGCCAGACACGAGAGGTGGAAGATGGAGACGGTGCACAGCATGACGTCCAGGCTGGAGGCGAGCTTGCACAGGACGGAGCCGAGGAGCCAGACGTTGTCGTTGAGGAGCTGGTAGATGGAGAAGGGCATCACGAGCAGGGCTACGCACATGTCCGCCAACGCCAGCGACACGACGAACGCATTGGTCATCGTCTGTAGCTTCCGGTGCGTGATGACGGCGAGGATGACCACGCAGTTGCCGAAGATGGTCAAGATGGGGACACTTACGAGCACGGACGTTATGGCGAATTTCGCGGCGTCGGAATACCGGGGCGGCGGGCCGGACAGCGCGGACATGACGTCATCGCACAGCGACGACGTCATGTTCTCCAGGTCCGGCGGGAAAGACGAAGCGTTGGCTCCACCGTAGGGCATGTAGGCCTCTGGGGACACCAGGGACAGCGTGCTGAGCTGGATGCCGAGTGAAACCATCGTCGGGCGATGCGCCGTGGCTGCTGGGTGGCGTCTAGTCCATGGTGTTCCCGTGTCTCTACTGTCATAAACGCAGTGTCGCTCTCGGCTTCTTGTCATGCCATTCGTCTGCCTGTTTCAGCAACGCTGTGTCGGGCCGGGTCTGTGAAAGTCCACAGCCAAAACAGTCTATCCATTAATTCTTGAACACAGACGCGAATTCGTCAAAGTTCCGTCATCGGGGGACACGCCATCAGTCATGATGTCCGTGTTTATATCTGTGAATAAAAAAACAACAACACATTAAACGTAGCACTGACATGATTAACACATGAACTACTATTTCAAATTAAGGAAATTCTATCACTTTCATCTATCAAACATAATGGCATATGTACATAGCAATGCATAACAGAAGTTCATGTAAATTAACAAATTGGAAGATAAAGCGTATAACGGACAGTATAAAAATAAGACTAAATATCCATGTGTATCTCAGTCGGTCGTATGATGGTCATATGTACCTCAGCGGGTCGTATGATGGTCATATGTATCTCAGAGGGTCGTATGATGGTCATATGTATCTCAGTGGGTCGTATGATGGTCATATGTATCTCAGCGGGTCGTATGATGGTCATATGTCTGTATCTCAGTGGGTCGTATGATGGTCATATGTCTGTATCTCAGTGGGTCGTATGATGGTCATATGTCTGTATCTCAGTGGGTCGTATGATGGTCATATGTCTGCATCTCAGTGGTCGTATGATGGTCATGTCTGTATCTCAGTGGGTCGTATGATGGTCATATGTCTGTATCTCAGTGGGTCGTATGATGGTCATATGTCTGTATCTCAGTGGGTCGTATGATGGCCATATGTCTGTATCTCAGCGGGTCGTATGATGGTCATATGTCTGTATCTCAGTGGGTCGTATGATGGTCATATGTCTGTATCTCAGTGGGTCGTATGATGGTCATATGTATCTCAGTGGGTCGTATGATGGTCATATGTCTGTATCTCAGTGGGTCGTATGTATGATGTCCAATGTTTCCTTAGGATCAACCAGTACAAGAGAGTGCGAACAAGTGGTAGGACCTGGTAGGTTAATGGAGCACATTGAGTTTGGAATACTTCACACAGACATGCCGGGGAATGGCAAAATACCCCCCCCCCCCACTCCCACCACCACTACCACCACCACGCCTCGCTGGAGCCACTTCACAAGGCGTAACAGCGACCGTGGATAGGAAGTGGTACTAGGGGAAGGGAAAAATCCCCCCCCCCCCCACTCCCACCACCACTACCACCACCACGCCTCGCTGGAGCCACTTCACAAGGCGTAACAGCGACCGTGGATAGGAAGTGGTACTCCTGGGATTTAATCACCATACAAATGGCGTGCTGGTGTGTGCGGGTGTGTGGGAGGGGTGTGGGGGCGGTTGGCAGTCTACGCTCGTAATCCAACCCCCTCAAACCGGAAAGGTATCCACGGCTACACACCCGCAATCCACCACACCACCATGTCTGTGTAGAAGTGGTGGTGTTTATGTTGACAGGTCCACGCGCCACGCGTAAACAAGGTGTTGAATGTCCGACATTCTTTAGTCATGAAACATGTGTCACCATGGCTGAATTCAGCACTGTTTATCATATGATTATGTATATTCAGCTGTGACTGTCCTTGGTGCCATTGTGTGCGGGACTGCAGGGTGAAATGCCAGCTTTGCCGTGAGTTTCATTGTTAGGACAGCTGTGAAAATGATGAGGTCAATGCACTCCTCCACTAGGGTGATGGAAGAGTGCAATGTGCGTGATTATATTAGTAAAACACACGAACATCAGTTACAGTCTTAATGAAAATTTTCCATACACGGAGGCATCGCTATGAATCGATCTGCTTATTTGAACATGGCAATACATATGCCCCAATCGATATGCTTTTTCCCCCCATGGCAATACATATGCCCCAATCGATATGGTCATGCAGCCATTGTTCTGTCCAAAGAATAACACAGAAAGACATGGCCACACAATTCATCCATTACACCATCCAACCAATCATCACCAAGCCATCAATGCAACCAACCACACACACATACACACGCACATATATATATAAGTATGGGCCAATGTGACCATTTATCGTTGAGTCTATAGCGCGAAAATTAAATTTCCGGATAACTTCACAGTGCTAATTAGTATTTAAGATAGACTTCCTATTTCTAATTAGGAATCTTAAAAAAAAACTATGGTGGAATTTTTTTTTTAAAACGGAAATCGAATCAATTTAAAACTGATTTAATAAATCTGATGATTAAATGTGAGAGTTAGGCATTGCATGCACACTGGTAACATCTCTTCCGTCATCGCACTATTGAACTATTTGTTTTTACTATTTTCAACTTCAACATTTCAGGGGAGCACACATTAATATCAATGTCTCCAAACCAAATTTAGTTACAGCTGTGAATAATGGGATGAACTATTTTTAACTTGAACATTTTCGAACATAGCTTGGTTAAAAATGGGGTTGGTTGGGGTGGGGGTGGGCATTATAATGGTCATTTAGTTAAGGGGCGGTGGGGGTTGCCTTTCCGATCTGTATTTTTAAATGTTAAAATTTTTTTGCAAAGTTAATGAATATGAATGAAATAGCAAAAGGAGGTATGTGGAAACGTTTCGGCATAGGGCCTTCTTCAGTGCACAGGACAAAAATGAAAATATCCCAAGGAACAGAGCACAGTAAACAACTCGAGAAAAATCCTATTTTGTTGCCGGAAGTCGGATTACAGGAACCTCGTTTTGCTATTTCATTTACTTAGCTCGAATGCAGTCCTTTAATTATTATAATAAATATGAAAAAAGGGGTTGGGGTGTGCCTAATGTTTAAAGAAGATAATCATTGCTCAAGACCCAAAGATGTTAAAAATGTGAACATCACGACATGGCCACTTCATAAGAAATAGTCTTCTTTACATTTTACTAAATGCAAATTTCAAAAGCGTGGAAAATCGATAATGAAACAAATTCTACAGTACATCAAACCCGGATTCAATTTAATATGTACACATAGGATTTTTGTTTAGATGTTGAGACTTCGCAGTAGCAGGTAGAAAGTTGGCTCAATTCATTTGCTGCCCACGGAGAATACTTCTAAGCTATGTGATATTTTTAATTTTAATTTTATTCTGTTTTTTTTCTGTTGTTTTGTTCACTGACGAAGGCTTCCTGCCGAAACTTTCGTTGCTGTGTTGCGATCCTTTTTGTTCAGATTTAAACCTATTTTGTTTTACTCATTTAGAAAGTAGCCCTACATGCCTTCGATTATTATTCCGATAACACCGGGTCATTCTTCTAGTATCTTAATGCAAAACTATACATCCAACCTTCTTTTCATCTGAGCATATATGAATATGTCTCTTAACTATGGGATAATAAAAAATTTGAGGGTTCGACTTTTATAGAGCCAAGTAGAACATTCAACGGCTAGACTTTTATAGAGCCAAGTAGAACATTCAACGGCTAGACCTTTATAGAGCCAAGTAGAACATTGAACGGCTAGACTTTTATAGAGCCAAGTAGAACATTCCACGGCTAGACTTTTATAGAGCCAAGTAGAACATTCAACGGCTAGACTTTTATAGAGCCAAGTAGAACATTGAACGGCTAGACTTTTATAGAGCCTAGTAGAACATTCAACAATCTCTCAATACAAAGCTCTTCGAATAAATCCTTTACAAAATGTAGTAGCGGGCAGTGGAGGATGAGGGGGGGGGGGGCTGAACATTCGACAAACATTCAGACAAGGAACGCACTTTATAAGAAGCCCAATTATGCTAACCCCCCTCCCCAAGTCTAACGATCGCACAATTTTTTTTCACGCCCCTGAAAAATAGTAATATACTAACGACACACCCGCTTTGACACCGCGGATTTATTTCACCAACTATTTCAGGAAAGCAAAATAAAATATTGCGCACCAAACGCAATGGAGATATTTTATTTTAAAGAATCTCATTTAGCGCAGTCATCGGGAATTTTTCTTCATGTTCCCCTTGGGAAAAAAAAATATTTTGGGGCATGCTTTTTTTTTTTTTTCTGTCAGCGCGTTGACAGCACGTGACCGATGACGTTGAGTGACGCCTGTTGACTTGTGCGAATTCTACTTGTGGTGCTGATTTTTTTTTTTTTTGGGGGGGGGGGGGGTCAATTAGCCGTTCGATGATTTTTTCCATCTAGCCAGCCACCCACGAACGAAAGCGAAGTTAATATAAAGGATTTTTAAAAATTTAAAGACAGGAACTATGGGCCTCTATTAAATACAGCCACATGTGAATAAAACAAACACAGTGCAAGTTACGACGCATCGGCTACAAGATTAATTAGTTTAAAAACAAAAGTACGCACCAAATACTGAACGTTTATTAGGGTCGCAATTTCACCGAGGCCGGTGCTTTTCGGTGTACGATATTGCAGGAATCAAGTAGCATTATTGGCGCATGCCGAGCATGGGTTTATCCCAGCGGCTCTCAACCTGTGGGTCGCAACCCCTTTTTTTTTGGGGGGGGGGGGGTTGAACGAACTTTACACGAGTGTCGCCTAAGACCACCAGGAAAGCCCATGTTTATGAAGGAGCAACGAGAATAATTTGTATGGCCAGGGGTCACCACAAGCCGAGGAGCTGTGTTGAAGGGTTGCCCGGCAATTAGGAAGGTTGAGAAACACTGGTCTACCCTATGGGTGGAATGAAATAAGTCAGAAAACACGGTTGAATACAATTGGAACAAGAGATGGTCAAATGGCCAATAGACCAAAGGCGTGTCTTATTTAACGGTAATTTATAGCATTGTTGTGTTAAGGGGCAGATTACTTGTCAGTGCAATGTTGTCTGCTGGGAAACTCACAATTTCATCGGTGATTGATTGTTTTCTTTTTATAAAACTAATTTTCTGGTTACACCGTCATAAATAAAAACAAATACAGGGGGATGATTGAAAACAATGTCAGACATGTAAGTGATGCC